ACTGCGTCTGATGTGTTTCACCCTTCATCTTCTTCGTCTTGTTTGTCTCTGATTTGCGTCTTTTTTCCGAACGAATTAGGGTTTTCCTCAATCTGATGAAGGACCCTTTACCGAAGAAGAAGGTGGTTGTACGGCACTTGCCGCCTTCTCTTTCTCAGTCCGATCTCTTATCCCAAATCGACCCTCGTTTCGCTGATCGTTACAATTGGGTTTCCTTTCGTCCTGGGAAGTCAAGGTAGGTTTCATTTTGATTTCTTCCGTTTTGTTTACCTTGGTCTCTCTTCTTGTCGTGTCTTGAATTTGGTACATGGATTCTAGGAATCTTGTTTGATTTTAGGGTTTCTCTCTTATAATAGTAGTTGAAGAAGATTATCGATTTTGTTCAGGGAAAAAAGGTTTGATCAATTATGTTAAGAGATTCTCGTGACCTAGTTGTTTATAGTGGTCTTTTTGTTCTTTGTAAGGCCTACTTTATACAGAACCATACTCGGTGTGAGTTTTAGTGGTCCCTGGTTGATCGGTGCTTGCAATTAAAGTGATGTTGTGTCTTTCTTTTCTGCTTCCTCAGCTACAAAAGCCAGAAGTATTCACGGGCCTACTTTGGTTTCAAGGCACCAGAAGATGTTTATGAGTTCGCTGCATTTTTCAACGGGCATGTGTTTGTTAATGAAAAGGGTATTTGACTTAATCCGTCTTTGTCCACTGAATGTGTTTTAGTAGCACATTAGGTTTATTTCAGAGATGTGATTTTGTGGTTTCTCTGTTAGGTGCTCAGTTCAAGGCCATAGTTGAATATGCACCTTCACAGCGTGTGCCGAAACCATGTGACAAGAAAGATCCTCGTGAAGGGTCTATTAGCAAAGACCCTGATTATCTTGAATTCCTTAAGCTAATTGCTCAACCAGTTGAGAATCTCCCCAGTGCTGAAATCCAGTTGGAAAGAAGAGAAGCTGAGCAGTCTGGTTCGTCTTTTCGAAAATGAGTTCTATTTTGCAATCATTTTAATATTTCTTCTATCTGACCAGGTTGATTATTCTAAATAAATTAGAGGAAGTTACTAATAGAACGCACTTTCTAGGTACTTCAAAAGCGCCTCCCATTGTTACTCCGCTTATGGAATTTATACGGCAAAAACGTGCTACTGTGACTGGATCCCAGGTATATCATGCTCACATTTTTCTTATTAAAGTTGATCTTCCTAGTGGAAAATCAGAGTTTTACTAGGACGTATGGAAGAACTATTTTTGATCTCTGGTTTTTGTTTAAGCAACAGGGTTTATCAGATGTTCGAAGAGGAGGCAGAAGAGCCAGAGCAGTGTCTGCGAACAAGCCAAGTCCAAGGCCCGCGAAACGAAACTCTGAAAAGAAAAAGGTGTTATCTGATCTCTAAATTTTTGGAGCAAACAGTTGGCGTAGTCTGCCTTTTTACTCGACACTTGCCTCCTTATGGTGTAAAATTTGTGTTGATTTAATTTTTTTTACTTTCTTATAGTATGTGGAGAAAGATAGTTCAAAGAATGTACCACGGAAGGCCACATCAGAAGTTGGCAGCTCTAAGCAAGATTATCTTCAGCCAAATTTAAGTGGAAAAGAAATACCAGAAAGTGAAACTGGTAATCAGTCAACAGCTATCGTTGGTTCTAGCTGTATATCCCTAATCTTAAAACGCGCAGTTTCTTTCTAACTCTATTTTTAATCTACTCAACTGCAGCATCTGTGATCGATAGCTCTCTCCCGGGGATTGCCTTGACTATGGATTCTGGGAAGAAAAAGATTTTGCTCCTGAAATCAAAAGACCGAGACAATTCTGATGTAAGCCTTTGGCTCTTTTAGAAAGTTGGGTGCAAACCAAAGGCCTTGTTCTCCTTTTCCTCTAGTATTTTGATAGTTGTAGACAGAATCATAAGCCATCTACAGCTTCTCATTTGTCTATGGGTGTTTTAAACGGTTTTTCAGAACCCTTCACCACAACCAGAACAGCAGATGGGAACTAATCTCTCTGGAAACTCCGTGGCACTAAAACAAAACCAGAAGAGTGATGTCGGTGGGAGGTTGATTAAGGGAATACTTCTGAAAAATGAGCTGCGACCAGGCCAGTCTTCACCATTTGTCCAGCTTGAGCAAAGATTGGAATCCTCTGAAGCAGAAAATATCAAGCGACCTCCTCGGCCAGCCAATACTCGAGCAGGTTAAGGGAGTAGGACTTTAGGCAAAATGTTTGCTTCCCAAGTTTGGTTGATATTCAAAATACGGATGGTTAATGTGCAGGAAAAGACTACCATGCATCTGGTACCATTAGTGAGAAGCAAGAGAGGCGTACACGAAACAAGGACAGACCTGATCGGGTTGTGTGGGCTCCTCTCCGTCGTGGTGATGGGTCAAATATCAGCGAGGATCAGCCATCATCTTCAGCAGGTTCTGTTCTTTTTGTTTGCCAATACTTAATTGGCTTAAACATTTATAGTTGTGTCTGTTCTTCATGACATCTTGACTTAGCTGTATATGATCTTACAGCAACCAATGGTGAAGCGAAAGAAAGGATATTCGTGCAAAGATCTGGAGAAGTCGTGAGCTTCTCTGGTGGACAAGCTCTTGAGAATGGTTAGCTCAGTTAAAGTTAGAGAATGCATTATGATATGTGGCTTGTGTCATTATATGAATCAAAAGAAAGTGATGTTGGTTCTGCCAAAACCTCATGACTCTATCCAGGTTCTGCCAGACATTCTAATCGCCGAGTTGGAGCTCGCAATAGAAAAGAAGACAGCTTTGCGATGAGTGGTGAGGGTAAATCATCCCGAAGAGGAGGTGGTGGTGGTGGTCCCAATTCACATGAGGCAAGCAAAACCAAAGCCTTTTACTACACCTTAACATATGCTCTTACAACCATGTTTAAGACTCATTTTTACTTGTGTTGCAGAAGCAAATGTGGATCCAAAAATCATCATCGGGTACTTGATATATTCACTGAACCTCTGGTAAGCTTTAGTTGCACTGTATTACGTTCAGCATTTAACATCAGCCTAGTGTTGTCCTCAGGAACCATTAGATGATTTTGTCAACACAAACGTTATGATTGTTCTGTTCTTTCAGGCTTAAATATATCAGCCAATCCAATGGGTTTTGTCCTTTAACGGGAATCTATAGATCTCAATCGAAATGGGGAGTAACACTTATCAACATCACTCGGGTTTGGAGACTTTTGGTCCAACGTCGTAAGTCATAGTATTGCACATAAAAGAGGCTCTTCTCAAAGTAGGAATCAGCTCAAGATTTAAGAGTATGAGACGAGAAAGACTCGGTCGGCTCTAGCGGTTCACGGTACCTGCATCCCCTTTTTTTGGCTTGTGCGGTGTTACAGACAAGTGGGTGAGAACATACTCCGAAGTCTGAGTAATGAAATAAAGTCAAGTGTATAGGGAGCAGGAAACACTGTTGGGGGGTTTTATTTTGTGTTCCTGAGAGATGTCTTGGAACGTGATTGCAAGATTTAACCATAATAGTTTGATTACTACTGTCAAGTAAATTAATTTTTAAAGTAATATTTTCTTGTGGAATGTTGGTTTATTTCACCTCATTGTTATATAACTTAATCCACCAAAAACTCCGAATATGACAACGTCGAGAAATGACCGGGTCTAAATGGATCTGTCTATATCTGATTCCATAAAATATATGTTTCTTTGTATTATGTGTTACAAAACTAATATGATTTGTTTTTCCAAGATTTGTCATATGGTCCATGACAAGCCGTCCAATTGACAACTCAAAAGTCATATAGTTTTCTTTGAACTTTCAACTAGCGATTATAAACCATATGATCATCTATTTGACATGTTAGATATCTAAAAGATTTTATCAAAAAAAAAATATATCTAAAAGATCCTCTCTTTCATGTTGGTTTTGTTCATGAAGTGAAAATAGACTAGAGAAGCTTATGTCTTAGCAAATAATCACATGTTACATGTTAGATATCTTAAAAGATCCTCTCTTTTCTATGTTTCAGTTAATGTATCCTCCAATAACAAAATGGAATACATGTCACATGTAATGTTTTGTTATCTAGAAATGGAAATCCAGTATGTTGGAAGACAAAAAAAAAGATTTTAAATTGTAGAAAAAGTTGCAACTAAATCATAAGATAGTAAAATAAAAATAAAAATTAAGAACTGAAACATAGAGGAAGCATCATCAGTGTGAACTTTGCCCTGCTTTGGTCCATTAACAAAATCTAAAGGTTCAACAAACTTTGCCTGCTTTGGTCCAAATCTGTCTCTTTCTTGTGTTTATTTTCTTGCGGTGGTACAAATTTCAGAATCAACTCTATTCGCAATTAATGACCGATTGCTTCTTCACCTA